TTATCCAGTCCAAACAAGCTCAATGCCTGTCAACATAAAAACGACGCTGCTTAGACCTAACAGACTGCAAATCTAATGCTGAAAAGGATATTTTCTCTCGAGAAGCTGGCCTATTTGTCAAGCAAGAAGCGCTGACACTGTGATCCTTATGGGCAGTATGAATGCCCGATTCGGTCGTCTGACCTCCTTGAAATCACATTAAAGCGGTCGCTTCGGAGTCGATGATCGTCGCGCAGACAAGGGACAGCGACTCCTCTAGTTGTGTGCTGATTATGAAGTGTTTCTGGCCAGTACAAACATTGAGCATAAACGCTCACATCACGCAACCTGGAGGCCACCAACGGCAAATCGATCGTCAACTCAGCTGAATCGCATGCCATCAGCGTCTGGTGGAGAGCCATAATTCAAGACTGCCGTTGCTTCTTGGGCACACAACTAGATTCCGATCACGCCATGGTGTGTGCCGCCTGACAGTTCGTTTTGTTCAGGCCCTCACAAGTCAGCAAGAAGCAAACCAATCCACCATAGCTCAATAGATCTGAGCTAGCCCAACAGCTCTCCACAGTACACCAATATCGTACCGATAAGGAGCATGCAGGTGGAACGTGGCAAAATGTGGAAGGAGCCATGCAAGCGGTGATCAGTCTGTCCGTCCGGCTTCTCTGGTTCAACCACAAAACTACTGGATATCGTCGAGATCGCTATCCAGGGTTGATACCAGTAAATCCAGCAAGCAACGAGTACGACGACGCACGCAAATCTTTCAAATAGTGAAGAGTCTAAGGAAAGACCGAGAGCTTTAGTGGACATCGAAAGCTCGGTAGATGGAGAAGGCTTTTGCTCCCGGGAACAGCCGTGCCCTATATCAACTGATACGGTCGACTGGTCCCACGAAAGCTGCGGTGAGAATGACGGATCACTCTCAGAAACGCTGACTAGAAAGATGGCTGAATAACAGTTTAGCTGGCCTCCTTCAACACGGTCTCTGGAGATAGTGCATACGGGCGAATGGAATGCAAACCTTGATCCCCATTCGGAATAAGAAATAAAGTATGAAATATCGGCACTCAAACGTGTGAAGGCACCAGGACCGGACGGTCTGTATCCAACCCTCTTCAAAGAAGGCAGAGTCCCTGGTGACCCATCTGACAAAGCTAATTGGTGCGATATGGAACGAAGAGAGAGTGCCCGCAGAATTCGACATATCGACAGTTATTCCTATCTTCAAAAACGGGCAAGCGGACGCTGTGTGAAAACTACCGTGACAACCTAGTGGCTGTGGCATCGAAAGTCCTCTTCGGTCCTATCTTTCGAGGGTTGACTGAACACAGGGAGAGGCAGATCCGTGAAAACCAAGCTGGGCCCCGTCCTGCAGGAGGTTGCATCAACAAATGTTCACTCTCCGACAAATCCTGAAACAGTGACACTGATTCCAGAAGCCAACAGTGGCTGTGTTTCTTGATCTGAAAGCTGCCTTTGACACTGGACTGTCAGGCACTATGACAGCGTAGAAGCCAACGTGGCTGTGTTTCTTGATCTGAAAGCTGCCTTTGACACTGGACTGTCAGGCACTATGACAGCGTCTGTGGAGCAAAGATGTCCCCATAAATTCTTGACCCTCCTTAAGGCGCTGTACGCCAACTCCCTCCGCCCTGTGGACGTCTACGGGAAGCTCTCACCCGAGTTCAACCCATCAAGTAGTGTCAAACAGGACTGTTTTCTTTCACCTTTCTTCTTCAACGATCATGGAAGACTCACTACCAGCCTATAATGCCTACAGGGTCGAAGTGCTCCCGGGGCGTCCGCTCATAAATATCGAGTACGCAGAAGACATAGCGCTTTTTGGATCGGAGGCGCTGGTAATGCTAACAATATTGAATAGTCTGGGTAATTCTCCTTCACGGTTAGGCATGCGCTTCACACCCGCACTGTGAAGTTCTACTGTGGGACTGGGCGGACTCGAATTTTAATGTTGTGCTCGCGGATGAGCCCATTGAGACGAGTTTGTCTACCTGGGCAGCTGTATCAGTCCCGGTGGTCTCACGAAAGATGACATTTCCACCCGGACTGAAAAAGTCAGAGCAGATTTTGTGAACCTGCATCACCTGTGGCGGGGGCGTAACATGACAAAGTATGAAAGCCAACACCAGCAAACTCATCTGCGCTAGTCATTGCTGCCTCCCTGGAAGAGACCCCGAGACGAGACACATGACTGGTTAGAGACATAGACAGACAGTCGCGTCCTCCATGGCACTTGTGCATCCAAGTTATCACCTTCAATGTATATCTCCCTTCCCAATCTCCCCACTTAAAAGTCCACTATTTACACAACAATTACATCAGCTACCGCCTCCAATGCGCAGCTACCTACCCCACCTCACCAAATAATCGATTAACGAAACTGTGATAGCCATAACCACTGTACGACAAGTATGATTCTTACAGCTGACTGCTGATGATGAGATAATGAGGGAAAAAAGAAAAAATAATCCTACTATTAGTAGTATAGTAGATTGTCTACAATACGTTATCTGAAACAACACCAAGTTCCAAATCGTATCAGCCGCTTCGAACTGTTTTCACCATCGACTTCACCTGACAAATCTCATTCACCCCGTCCTTTGGCGACAAGCTTTCGATGAACTCAAAATAACTGTATGGATTATAAATAGCTCCTGGAGAATGTTCACCGAAACTGGGCAATTAATGAGGCATCAGACTCCGAAGCCCTCAGTCACATAAGATATTTTCCCTACTGCGATTCATGGGGTTGACGCTAATGGCATTCGTCAACTTCGAAAAAAAACCTCGGGACCCGACCACATCTTTATTGCGAAAATGCAAACAAACTTTGGGTCAGTCGCCTGGTAATTTTCAGATAGATAAAGAGGCTGACTGTTCAAGCGTAGTAAAATCGATCCAAGATAGACAACGATGAGTTGCGTCGAAGCTCACTCTTTACACCCTGACTTTTTCTAAAATTTCAGGTATTCTACTCATCCACACGAACAGGTTTCTAGTGAAGTTGATTGTTGCGCTGCATGCACATCAAACTCGATCGACTATCAGCAACTCAGCCTAATAGCAATCACTTTCGTTGGCTACAGGGAGCCGTTCTTGTGTGTGCTGCATTTCGCATACATCGTATTTTCACTACAAGCCGCGGTTCATACGCGGACCGTGTGTGAAGTAGGGCGTTTCCTGAATGCTGGTTGATTTAGCTATCTTTGGTTGTGAATGATAACACCCCAAGATTGTTGCTCATTGCGGGTTTAAACAGGTTCCTGGCCGGATGTAACCTGCAGTCAGTAGAGGGCGAAAACTGATTCTGAAAGCGATGAACCTGTCAAAAGTGCACAATCTCAATACTTTCATGACCACCAAAATAGACGGACAGGTACAATGAATTCAGTTGTTACGCAATAACCCTGAAAATACACCCCCACAGGAAATTCTTTCCAGATATGAGGAAACAAAGGAAAATGGTTGAGGAGGGTTGAACGCTAGGCATCAGAATGAGCCAAGGTTATTGGTGAGTGCCCTTCATGAACTTTATACGCGCTTTTACGGGCGGAATTTCATGAACAAGCGGATTTAACTGAGGGTGGTACGTATACCGAAATAATACCTGTTTAGATGCAATTTTTCTTTTTTTTTGAAATGGAAAAGCGGTACTTACCTGAGTGAGTTTTATTCGAGAGCAGCATGACAACCACATACAGAACTGCCAAATTGAATTGAACCAACGAACCAACCAGACACACGAGATTGAAACCACGTGAGATTCACAGAAGACCAATCAAACTAGACGACGACCGTTTCAAGAACTACCAGATACTGTTTAGGAGCTATATAATCACAGGCAGAAGAGGAGGAATTCACCCACTCAACCCTGCACTAATGATGTCACCTCGATTGGTGATGAAACGTTTGCAATCAAACTCCCAAGCTCGGCGAACAGACCAACAACCAAACAACGCACCCCGAGCTACCTCATTCCACAACATTGAGGAACACTATACTCCAGCCACCGAAATGCTTTAAGTCAATACGAGTGGCATTCGATGAGTTTGAAGGGTTCCATAACTAATTGACAAAGGAACAGGAAACCGAAGTTTCTCTCTTTAAATCCATACTGTAGTGGCTAGGACTGTGCCTAGTTAAGAGATCATGTGAATGCATTCGGGCTTGTAGGTGAGTGTTTTCACATTCTGTTTATGAGATATCAAGGTCCTGCTCATAGAAAAACAGGACAAAATCCTACTCCATCAACACTTGTGAGTTACGCCCCCGTGTAACAAATTCAGTGGGCATAACCTTGAAATGCAAGTTCACTGAGTCCAACTTTTGAGTGAGCGGAATGGGTTAGGTTGCGTCAGATGCTGGTTAACACGAATGTAACTTCACGGGTGAGCTGATTGCCTGTATCCTCCGGTTGAAGAGGAAGCAAGTTCTGAGAACTTAGATTGCATGTTGGGAAAATTTGGAGATGACTGTTATAATCGTAGACGTCCAGCTAAGAAAGATTGCGGTCCTAGCCACTTTATGCGCATGGGCCAATATTATCGAGAAAAGCTTCATTGAATTTGTTGTTTATGGCGAACATATCTCAGTTACCTCAGGGTCGTTTTGGTCGGTTATCAGCGATGGGTGATTAGTGAAAACAAAGCCTGACCCAAACCTACACTAAGAAATGCACCGGTCGATCCTCATACAGAACAGTGGCACACTGTTGAGCACCAAACGTCACTCCTGGTCAGGAAATGAGTCGAAAATTGATGAGACCAACAAAGTATGCCGCAAAGGATGTCACCGAAATTTAAAGCATGAGCGGTTAAGTCCCTCGTGGCTTCTTACTGTTGATGCGGTGCTGCGGACACGGTGGGCAAAGATGCGTTCTCAAGACGAGTACAAGTACGTGCTTGTAAAACCTGTCGTTCTAATTCTTTTGGGGTTTTAATTGTCTTCGGGTGCAAAAGGCTAAGTGAAGCTATAGTCTAGGGGGAAGCAAAATGAACCAAAATTATCGAAGATGGAATATGAAAACGATTGATAGTACAAGGTATCTATCACTGGTTAGTAATAACCAAAGTCGAATTCTGGCACTGACATCCAAGGATTTACAGGTCAATTAGCCGAATCTGAGAGAGCGATAAATAGGACAAAGCATGAAACTGGTCATTCCAAAGGACCACCCCATTCATTCAACGAGCAACGGTATAGTCGGTACAGTCCAGGGACCCTCAACGTTCACAAAATGGTACCCCATGTCATTCAAAGTATCCGACACGAGCACCGGTGATATTACCAGTCGATTAGCCTCAAAACAGTCGGAACCAGGACAGAAATTCACCCCAACGCGTGGAGTCATAAACAACGAAATGAGCCCGACGGAATTCAATGCGGATCTGTAATTCAAAAACTGCTCTTTTATCACTCTATGTACATTAAATTGCTCCAGTGAAACCAAACTGTTATGCCCTTTCAGAAGGTGAATGGTGCTATCGAAATAATGGGGAAATATAACTGCTCAGGTCCAGAAGGTATTAGCGAAATGCACGGAAAAAATCGTAGTTAGAAGGCGACTGACGTCTTGCAACTGATCATTTTGAGTGTATCAACGAGGGCCCGAATTTCATGTGTCTGCTTTTTTAACGATTCCGAAATAGACTTCATCTGAGCTTTGTCCAGTTCATGTTCCATACCAGGATTCTGCCCCGGTACCCCCAACGCCCGGATCCGATCGAGTCTGGTCAGTTTATCGGTGATGTCGTTACGCTTTGAGTGAAGACTGGCAAGCCAAGTCTTCAAACCTTTTTGCAAGCGATTTCGCAGTTGAACGACCTCATCGCGCATGGCTACCTCGGCTTTGGAAGGCTCATCGATAAGTCCTGTGGAAATAACGTGGAAATCAAGATCGTGTGCAAGCTGAATGAAATAAGCTCCTTTGCACGAGACACCGGATGAGTAAAACCGAAAACTTGCAAAAAGTACTGATATATGGTGAGTAGCGTGAGGAGCTGGCTAACTTTCAGCAAACATTGCCTAGAATGTACGGTCAAGCGGGACTCCCCCAAAAGCACGGTGCAACTGCTTTGCCAATTATAGAAGTCCACAAATAAGTCCCCCAATGTTAATGTGAGCGTCAACCCCCTAAACTGTTGGTTCAGCTGCAAATTCGGGAAAGCAACCTATTTAGCCCAATCGCCGGCCCCTTATAAGGATAATGAGTCCAAGAATTAAACGAATCGAAATTCACGGAAGGTTAAATAAGTATAGACTGTAAGTAAAAAAAAGGAAGTGCAGTAAGCGCATCCAAACTGCCGGATTATGATAACGTAAAAAGTGGCAATCAAAAACAGGCAGTACAATCATCCTTCCTCTTCTTATAGCTGATGAAGATGATGAAGCTCGTCGGTTGGCTTGAACCGATGTGAAAACATATGACTGTTGGCAGTCTAAGTTGAAAAGCATAACGATGAATGGATAGAGTTCCTGGTAAATACGGGAAAGTTTTGCTTAGAAGAGCCTTCGATAACAAACACTGAATTGAATTATGTTGAGGTGTCATAGCGGTTACCCAAGAGGTAGTGGAAACAGTCATCCATACGGCAAACAACAGAGCAATTTGCGAATGAGTATATTTCGGAAGCTCAGGGACTACACCTACCTAACCAAAAAGGTGGTTGGCTGACGAACGGAAGCGTTATGAGGAGGATATTATGTCAAGAAAATATGGTGCGGCATCTGAAACATTTGGAACATGAGGCTGTCCTTGTGGAGTATATTCGTAAACGAGAGATTCAGTTGAATCTCCCGCTAACACCAGTGTAATTTGCAACCGAGCGTATTTCTCCGAAGAGTGGATAGTTTCATAAAAACGACATTGGTGTCACCAACAGCGAGGCCATTATATAGACCATCGAAAACTAAACTCATATAGCGCACCCCAGAGCAAATCAGCTGGTTGTGCTTGGTAGCCTAACGTAAGGCGGTTAAAATTTTGGCTCAAGTACGGCGTCCACTAAAATGGAAAGCACGATGTCGGTGGGCGGCAGCAGACCGAAAAATCCTGTATACAGACAGTAGGGACCCAAGCAATAGGACTGTTGTCACTAAGTTCGCCAATTCCAAAGAAGTGATTTAGATGTTGCCAGATAGCAAGCATGTATGCAGCCGGCTACAAAAGAAACTCCCAGGGGTATCACACTACAAACTGTCTGAACGCTGACCAAAAACTGATAAACCGACTTACCCGTTAAGCGACAGGCCAAAGCACCCAACCGTTTTTCAAGCATCTCTTGTCGCTCTAAGATGACCGCGTGACGACTGGCCAGTTTCTTGGCTTTATCCTGTAGGACCTGTCGCTCGGCCGCCAATTGACAAGCATCTGTGTACTGTGTGGATAGACAGTCCCGTAGGCGGGTAGTGTATTGTTCCACAAAATTTCGGGCCCGTATTAGGCGGTCAAGTGAGCCGGAACGGAGAGTATCTGTCGTCTAACCGGGAGAGTATCATGGAATTAGTATCGATGATATTGCTTAATCGAATCATGATATACGAATGTGTGGTAAAACAGTGCCACGGAGCCAGTGAGTTACTGAATCCTTCACTGCTACAGACAGAAAACGGTGAATACGCCCGGAAGAGGGGCGCAGAAAATGTGGGCGTTGTAAAGAGCCGGTCCCCAGGTTAGCTCTCTTCTACTGTTTGTTTACTTCATTCTACTGGCTCTTAGAAAAATCACCCTTATTGTGATATCTTCGAAGGACAACCCGAGATGTAGCGGAGTTCCAGAGCATATAGGAGGCAAGGATTTCGGCATCTGCTCAACTTCGCGCCAACATATGCCTCAGACTATGTCAACGTTCTGCACTAGTCCCCAGTTTGAATGTTCAAATCTATGATCCCTCACATTGTTGAAGCTGCAGTCAAAGTACCTCCCTAAAGTTGCGATACCTTTAGATGAATTCCCTCCTTTACTAAAGCGGATCTCTTTGTACATTTAAATGCGGTGTGAATTCGCATGGTGAAGGTTGACCATAAAGAGCAGATGTCAATCCACCTAGGACGACTTGAAATGCAAACTTTCAACGGTGTCAAAAAGATCAAATCTGGAGCTTGACACGAAGCCACGGGCACATCAAGGCGCCTTTCCATTGTGTTCGCTTGAAAACAAGAATGTTCTGAAAAGTTGACAGTAGGTTCTGGAAAGAATTCCTGGAGCAGTGTGTTAGGCTGAACGCTGTGAGTCACAAGGGGGCAGTACTGTCTTAACATAGCATGAGATTTCATATAGCTGAATTAAAATTCATTCTGCTTGTGCTGAGGTACAACGTTATCATGACTGGCCACAACTAACTGGTTCTTCGCGGCCAGCAGTTGCGACGACCTGCACAACCCCGAGAAATACCATGCCGTGGAAATAAACTAGATATACACACCTTAGTCCCTTTGCGACAAAGCCAATCTATGCGGTTGCCTCACCCGGAACAATAGACAATAAATTACAACGGCTTCACATAAGTGACGGACAGGCTGGGGTCCACTTCTTAGAGCATCTTTAGACCAACGGAAGCTGTCCCCTTGGGCGCCGATCCCATCCGACTGACGGGTTACGGATAGACACATAAATACCAGAGTTATTTACCAATAAATAATGCATGTGGAGTTTTAATCAGCAGTACACGATGGGATAGAGGATATACTATGGGTATTCACCCGCTACAAAAGAATCTTAAAATGCTCATACAAGCACGGACAAGCCGGCTTCCCTGATATAGTTGAAAACGCGCTGTAGATAGAAATGTCGGGTGATTTCCAATTGTGACCCTCATTATACCCAATCAGGTATAACGTCTGGCATGTTACGTGCCTTCAGATCATGTCGAAACTTCATTTTTGGGTACGCTTATTAACTTCTGGGTCACAAAAAGATTTACATGAGAAGGAAAATTCTAGCAATCAAATAGGACGAAACAACTCACCTTAACAAGGAACTGGATCACCTGGACTTGTGTTAGATTGGATTGCAAGGAAAGCGCGGAAATCAGGGGCAAATGTAGATCCTCTTGTCGAAGAATTCGTCGAAGTTGAAGTGCAAATTCAGAACGAGAAGATGGACCGGGAAGGTTCGTACTGTGTACCGAAAACAAAGATAAATGTGTCAAAGTTATGAGAAATGTGCAGAGTGGTCGTGAAGAGGGATGCACTGACAGCCAAAAGAGTCTTATCACTAAGTGTGCGTAGATACGGTGTTGATTTCTTTCGATTTACGATCAGTTGGATAGTTGGGACGAGTGGAGTCAAGTGAAAGACTGGAGTGAACAGTGCTCAGCTGAACAGACGACCTTGAAGTGTAAACCAAAGCCAAGAGGGAGATATCATGAAGTATCTTGTGTCTAAGCAGTTTTCATGTGAATGAATCCTGATAGAAAGCTCAAAGTGCTCCGACAGGAATATAAACGCATCTCTACGTAAGATTTAGATGTCCGATATGTGCGTGTATTGGAGTTGGGTACCTCTTGGGGCATCTTTAGAAGTGGCTTTAGATTCCCCTTGGGGTATCTGAAAGTGAAAGGTTGTGGAAACCAAGTTGGAAACCAACCACAATGACAGGAAGAGAAATGTCTAGAGATTGTTGACTTTGGGTGTAGCGAAAGAAAACATGGATGGTCCTTTACAGCAGTGACGATGTGGCACTATGGTGCAGCTTGGGCAACCAAACAGATATCGTAGCTGTTCAACATTAGTTCCGTAAGAATCGAATGTCAGCTGAACACAGCAGTTGTAAATCACCGCTAATTGATGGTGAATCGAATCTTGTAGAATATAGAATGGTGAAGTGGTTCAAGGACACACGATAAGGAAGAGTGTAGCCACAGCTTTAAAATTGCGAAAAATGTGGTTTTTTGGTCGGTGTTACCGCTAAAAAAAACACTAGAAAGAGAACCAAAATCAACTAAAGTCTAAAGCTTCTATACATCCAGAGAACAAAGCCATCCGAGTTGAGTGTGGAGCAACAGTATTCTGACTAGCAAAAAAATGTCGCCAGTGCACTCACCCTTCGTGTTCGGCGGACACTTTGTCCTCATCAGGGGGTCGTTGCTTCCAATTTACTTTCAAAGTGGGTTCAGTAGAGTCTAAACGTATCAAATCAATCAGAATACTGGGATCGGACTGATATGACTCCATTGAGGGTTGAGGGGCTCGAACGATCAACAACGTAGGGGAATTGTGAGATCCGGTAGCGCTCGTTAGGGGCAACCCAAATCGGTTGGCTAGAGGTAATTCAATCATCGCTAACAGCCGAAATCTTCCGTCAGACTCTTGGAGAAAGGTTCGATCACGTGACGAAATCGGGAGCTGTGCACACAGAAGGTGCGTCACTTCAGAGTGCCAATCACCGGCTCCTGGGGGAGGTGGCGTAAAATTCAGGACAATAGTCAATGATTTCAAAGTACAAACGGATGCATCCGCATGCGAGCACTAGACCTGATCAATGGTACAATCACATGTGTTGCTTACGAATCCTAAATGAAAGATCATGTTCCAATTTGCTTTAGCTCATACAGTAAAAATTCATTCCCATGAATCAGTCTAGCAGGACAAAATCCGCCGACAGATACTGTTTTAATTCCACACACCGCAAACTGAATAATATTCGTTCAGCTGTAACACACTCGGTGCTTATCTACCATGCCACTCAAAGGAAGCACGAGGGCTGGGATACTGCCAGGTTGCCCAAGCCTAGACAGGGGAAGTCGAGAAGCAGAGGTCGGGTTCGAACCACGGACCATCCAGTCAGTAAATTCGCGCTCCAACCACTGAGCCATCTCGCCCCCCCCCCTGTACGGTTCTCTACCGTGGATATTAGTGCATGGGCCAAAGCCGAACATCGATAGTTCATCGCCATGCAGTCATGAGTTACTTCAGAAAAACTTGACACTCTGAAGAGGACATCCCATTAGTAATCTAATTCAGACATTGCAAGGTGTAGCAAGAGCCAGTTACGGAATCCAGTAGGGAGCAACTAGAAAATTGAGAGCACCTTGTTGACAGCTTACGCATATCGGAAGTAACTGTCAGGCATAGAGGCTGGTCAGTACTAAGGGTTATTCCCAGCCGTTTTGGAAGTAGGAGTCCGAAAACCAGAAGGTCTGGCCTTATGACCGACATGTTTCGCACAGTCCACAAGCGTCATCTTCACGTCCATGGGTACGTCTACTATGATTCCTATTCAGGGCCTTAATCAGTCCTCCCCATATAATCCGATTCTGGACTACTGAAATATATAGTATAGTAGTATATACTGAAATATAGCATCACAGGCTACAGCTGCTAAACACAGTTGATGAGTTGAAGCACGGGAGCTGTGGCTGAGGAGCCAAGATTGGGTCCAACTTGGACTACGCCACAACCGGTGATGTCTTGAACAAACTGTTGGTAAATCAAAGCGCACGCGCAAGAACTAGGACTCAGTGAGCCCGTGAGCTGACTTGTTGTTTCATCGTGGAGCTACAGTGACGTATTTGCATTTGGTGAGAAGCACTTTATGAAGGCCGCTATTACTGACACCACTGGGAAAGGCGGAGCATAGTACAGCACTGAGATAATGTAGTTCCGTTTGGCCAAGCTACAGCTAACAGGAAGATCTCCCAACCGACCAAATGTTCAGTGACAATTTCCCACAGTGGAAAGCTGCGATCCAGGTGTGAGCAAGTTGACCTTCGTCAAATGCCTATAGAACGCCACTTCAGGCACATAGTGGGCTGGTATGCGCCTCCGGATCATCTTGTCACGCGCCACCTGCACTGAGTAGCAAGTGTCATATGACACCGAAGAGTGAACAAAAGCAGTAGCTTTACACAAATCAGCATGCTAACCTATGACTAACAACTGCAAAAACATGCTTCGGAAGCTCACCGCTTGAAAATTACAGTGCTCGTCGACAGCGACCTACTACTCACGAGGCGCACCTTTTTTAGACATCTGACTAGTTGTTGTCAACCAGCTGCTGTCGATCGCTGAACTGACGGAAACCATCCCTTACCACCTCCCTTAAGGTGTCTTTTTTAGCGTTGGCTTTCGAATTCACGAGATCACTGCCAGTAACTCTCAAAAGTTCGGAGACGGCAAGCGGATATCATCGATTCTGTCTACTAGGATCCGATTTCCTCTTATTCAGTTGTTTACGCAGCAGCTATTTCGAGGCTCTATTTTCCGCCACTTCACAAAAATATCCCAACTATCGTATGTGGTTGCACGGGTCTATCACCCCCATTGCAGTGCAGCGTCCGCTGTAAGACCTCTCTGTCTGATCACTTTTTAGTACGATTGATAGATAACATCCACCTCAAGTACCACGTGTCAGAGCTATTAGTGTTGGATGTTGTGCCGTTGCACGGTTAGTGTTACAACGCTATACAAAAGGACAGGTAAAACGAATGCTTTGTAAATATCCATTCTGGTATCGAGCCACAAGCTTCGACTTTCCCATACTCGTTTCACGAGTTTGTCAAAAGCCATAATAGTATAGAGAACGTGGACTTGTCACTTTTATTATTGTTGCCATTATTTCTGAAGCTAATGTCTGTTCCAACCCATATCAATATCCCAGAAGGTTTTAGATGGCTTGATGCACGGGCCATAGACGGCTTTCAAAGAACCGCAAGTCTTTCTGTTGCCATACAACAGTAAATACTTCGATATGTGCACTCACTTCGTTCATCACTCGCCCACTTAATGAATGAGGTCATTTCGATTAGTTTCCCACTTCGTTCTTTTGCTTAGATCATCAGACAGGCAGCAGAGGATGCGATGGCTTTGTCGTTGCCCACAACCAGTAGTTTTTTCTACTGCTTGTTGTCACCAGAAGTCAGGGAGCATAGGACGCAGCTGACTGATCTGTTCGGCTGCTGTCATCAACAAATGGTTCATCGAGTTGTTATATTTCTTGCGGCGGGGTGGATAGTCTAAAGTTTTTTAATGAAGACGCCACTTGATGTTGGTACACGAAACTGATCTTCAGATCCTTCAGACGCCTGACATCAGGATTTATGCGTCTGTTAGAGAGGCGTGTTAGGGTTCGTAAAGCTAGAAGTTTACATATGCTTTGATGAGCAGAAGTTCTGTTTAGAGCTTTACTCATACGAAGCGCACGAATTGAACGTCTTGTTGACGACCAATGACGCAATCGAGTAGGTAGTAGGCCCATTTGGTATTAGATTATTTGTAAACAGGCTGGGGTAATGCTAAGGCGCCCAAACAAACCATCATCAACAAGAACCAAGAAGCCAAGCTCGGGATAGCTCAGTGATTAAGGAGGGAACTTGCCGACCGGAACGTCCGTGGTTGGAACCCAACATCTGCACCTGTATAGGCTTGGGCAATATCTGAGCCNNNCCGAAAGGGTTTGCAAGTGAATAATGGCTCAAAGCACAGGAGTGGTTAGTGTAAAACCTTCAGAACAGCCTGCATTTTTGAGCAGCAAGTCGACATGAATGTCTCAACCCCCAACCTAGAAGACCAGGAGGTCGTGTCAGTCAGACCTTTATCCATTGACCAACCTGGAATGTGAGGCTCTGAGTACCGCACACACACAAACACCAGTATAGTCTAATGGGGCGTGGAGGTGCTGAAACCGTCAGTCACTTCGTTTGATCAGGCTTACAAACCAACGAATAATAGTAAGGTGGAGGAAATGAGTCTTTCGATAAACAAAGGAAAACACCTGCTCACTCGTAGTGAGGAAGAAACGTCGTGGAAAAAAAATGACAACAGAAGTGCGGTATACCCAACACATGCCAAAGAGCATTCCTTTGGATTTAACAGAGCCCGAGATAGCTCAGTATTTGAGGTGCCAGCTTATGGACAGGAAGATCCGTGGTTCAAACTAAACCTCGGCATCTCGACTGCTCCCGTCTAGGCTTGGGCAAGCTGGCAGTATCCCAGCCCTCATGTCTCCCTCCGTTGGCACGGTAGCTAGGCACCGAAAGGGCGTTAAGCCGAACGATTTGTTTTTGTTTATTTTTTACTTGGACTCAACAGAACTTCCGCGACGTTTTGTTGAAGTACCATACAATTGAACAACTGCAGGAATTTAAAAAATGAATTCTGCATGAGTGCCACTTTTCATTTTACCATAGCTCACTTCAGGCAAAAGCTATGATTGACGGTCGAAGAAGTCGTGTAACTGACTTACGTCCGTTGGTAGGACTCTCTTTCTTCGTTGCAAGTGGGTCCTCCAGTAGCTCCTGACACCAACCACACAAGCTCCGTAACCAAGGTAATCGGACCAGGTGAATCCCAGAATCGTGTATCACATAATACGCACCATACGGATAAGACAAATCGGATGTTAAGGAATCTGGACACCCATCAAGGTTCAGAGGAAGCCCGATAGACTGTGCCGGTTCCAAGACTAGGGCTGGTAGTTGTGCTGAAAGATCGCCGTCTGGAGATAGCGATTCGTCCAAGACCGCGTCAGCTGGACGTTTCACCTCGGAAGTGGCTGCTTCGTGTAAATGTAGATCCACAACGTCCACTAGACACAACGCGGGACTTTCGGAGGACTCTAAAAATACATGAGTCAATAGGGTAGTGGTATGGTGCGGAGTGTCACAGGTATAAGTATAACAATATTAAAAGTGCTGTATTCCCTAAAAGTCGCAGTGATTATGACGGGGGAGCGAAACAGCCAAGCTTACCTGAACGCTTAGATAATTGTCCAGCTGAATGCAGAACAACACCATGAAACAGACGACCGTTCCGATTGGCCAATACCAAAACATCAGGAGGAAGTTCCATCGAATTGGCAATGGAAATAGAAGTGGACTTTGTCCAACTGGATAGACATAACAAGGAGCAAAATTCTTCCCCATAGTTGTCTGATGAAGGAGGGAGGATCCGGAGAAGTTGACAATCCAATCGGGATCGCTGAAGTGTGCTAAGACACCCGGATACCAGAATGATGTCACCTGCAAGATGGAATACCATAGAGAACAATAAACTAAAAAATGCAAATTGGAGTGGCGAGACACCAACAATCACCCTTCAATTTGCTTCTGTTACCTGAGGCAGAAAAGTGATTCAGATCTGGGAATATCCTAAATCGATAGTCCTACAGGAACACCACATGGACAATATTTCAACACGGTAATAATTACCAGAATGAGTAGTGTGTAACTCCCTCGCACCCACCGCAAGTAGTGATCAGGACCTGTAATCACCCCGTCTAGCCCTCTATGTGTGCTGATGAGTCCTATCGAGGATTTGTAGTTAAGCCACCAGGTTTATTCTTCAAACAACCACAGCACGTCGGTGGAAAATAATCACATGTTCACTTCAGTATTATCACAAGGGCTGTATTGACAGGTAAGGGTTTGCTCGTCCAGCACATTTTGCGTAACTATATAAACCCTGAGGTCAAAGGGCTGACTTTGATTTAAGCCTGAGAATAGGGGGAGAAGGACAGCTGCGTTGTCGTTTAAGAGGATCTACACTACATTGCGTGAATGATACGGTTTTGTTCCGAAGATCTTGATCTCACTAATTTTCCCGGGGTACAATGGCGAAGACATCCTCCTCTTCAAAGAAGTCCTGAAGAAGTATACTGGTGTTCGTCTTGAAGTGTATGGGATATTGAATCCATTCGAAACATTTTTGAGTAGTCTAATGAAGGCATTAAAAACAAAGTTACCCGAACTCCTCTAACGATTACCTATTGCGGACTAAGGGATAATGTTCTAACAAGTGTTCAGCGTCGCTTTTTGTGAAGGCACAACCATGCAAAATACTAGTCCGTAATTTAAGCCCTTGGTTTGAAGATGGTATGCTTGAAACAGTAAAATGTTCCACCGGAAAGACACTCACCAGTTTCACACAAAATATACAAACAGCAATCGTTCTCTTCCGCTCCTGATTGCCGGGACTTTGTGGTGCGTTTTGACAACACAGCACCGAAATCGAAATCTATACAAGTGTCACCAAGGGCACCATCCAAATCCAAACGGCTACGACCGTAACTCGTACAGGAAGTCTCCTCACCCTCACTAAACTCATCACTTGACTGACTGGAACCATCATAGGTCACATCTCCAGAACGATTATGCAGAAGCCCCAGATTTCCCGCCCGAAAGAGTGTAGTACACCGAATCTCCCGAGAACCATCCAGTCTGCAGCACTGCACATAGAATATACTGGAGTTGCTTGTGAGTAGAACCAATGTATCCTTGCAACGAGGGTGCCAACGAACGCGAAGAACCTGTGAATGTGTTCTCTCTAGCTCCGGAAAGTCAGTGGTATCGAAAGCCGTATACACCCGTTTCGTCACCGAACGCTGTGCGACGGAAAGCAATAATCAGATAAGTGAGTCAATGATAGGCGACCCATGGAAATTGGCAGCAACAAAACATGCGGCTAAAAAGCAACCCTAGGTATAACATTACATTATGTATAATGAGGCTTCATTGAAAATCCTTAAGCAAATACGTAACTCCGACTAGTTGATGAGCTGTTAATATTAACGGGTGTATCGGTGATTCTGGTTTCTACCACCCGCACATACGTGGTATTGTAGTCAGATTGAAGTCATCGATTTCCGCGAGAGTATCATGATATAAAGGTCAATCCGCAGAGTGTCCTATCGATCAACGCAACCCAAGATGTAAATTCGACATTTCGATTTCTGGAAGTTCCCAAATTTTCCTAGGAAACTGTACCCTTTCGAGTTGAAACCATCATTTCCGAAAAAGTTGGAGCACAAGCCATAGTTTCAGATAGAGGTATCTACACAAGGCACTCTTGTGTAGACGTGGATTGAAAACATGTGCGAAAATTCACCAGGATAACAACTAGGGAGAGACCAGTTTAGCTGGTAAATATTACTCACTAAGTTAGTCTGGTGTTAACGCGATCACTGGTACGTCCTCACCACACAGAATAACACTACTGAGGAATAAGCGATTCTGCTATTGATTCCTGTCTCTCTGACCTTATTCAACCGCCTGTCTTAAAGCGATCTTTATGGGAGGGTTCCCCATCCATATGAAAGACCTGAGAAGAGTTTTACTATTTCGTCTTCACTTAATTTGACTACGACTATGGGAGTTTCGGAATCCGAATTTTCGAAGTCTCTTCAAACAAGTAAAGAATGACATACAATTTGACTAATGCGTTGACATTTGAAGTTAAGAATGCACTGAATTGTTCTAGGGCAACTGGGAAACATAACATTGCCAGCTGGTCGTATCCAAGTTGATCACGTAGTAGACACATTAATCACACAGTGAAGTAAGAGCAGAATGACCTGTGTAGATAAAACTTAATCAGTGAAAAAGGATATGGACCTCAACTCTGGATAGAACAGTTACCTCTGTAGTTTTTTTCGAATTCGACGCCACATCTAGGACGTACACTGTTGTATGTGTGTTGAGCATTAGTAGAGATCCTGTTGGAGACAGAAGCATCGCGCATATTCGAAGAGTGGGCATCGGGGTAAGAAGGTGAACAGTTCGAGTGAATTCCGAGGAATCTTTGGTTCGCGTAAGAACATTAATTTCACCCAGCTTTTCATTTAGCACGAATAGACGAATGGTACCTAGTAATTAATTCGATGTAAGGAAAGGCTAACTCACCTGAAGGAAAATGGTGATGGACAATTTTTCTCTGCATACAAGAGTCGTACACCGAAAAGTCGGCAAGCTCAATATCCTTCAAAGTGCGTACTAAAGCCTCTTTCATACTGTGCAGTTAATAAAAAAATCCAGCGGAAATGTCCTGGGGGTAAAATTTATCATGTTTTACGAAGAGCCGAAAACAGAATAAATATAACATTGATAGACCCTGACATGACAGAAAACATCAAGTAATTAATGTGCTCGATGAAGTCAGTTCGCAGGTAGTTAAAGGACTTGACCGAAACCTAAGTTAAACCTCGTATGCTGCCCTTCATATAATTAGCACAAGCAACTGCTCCAAATCCCAAAACAACCCATTACTGATTTCGTTCATCGTCAGGTACATTCAGGCTCCGGAATCTGAGACAACAGATTCCCAACTTGCGTAGTTATTCGGTCTGGAATGGAACATCCATCTGAGGAGTACCGAACAAGACGAAACGGGTTTTGTGCGCTCATTTACCACTACATTTACTAAATCCAGAGGGAAACCAACATTGTGCCGAACACGAGGAAACCTATCGAGTTACCAGGTCAGGAACGTCTAAGAATCGTGTGTGCTGTTGATAGAGCCAACATCAGTGTTGCACACGGACGTCGTCCTTTCGTATCCTACCTAGCGTTATTTCAGTAAGGAGGGCAAATAACTAAACATCCACTCTGCAGTTATGTATGCCTTAAATAAACTACGGTTTTTAGGTAAAGTGCTGGTGTTTAACACAAGCGTGCTGTCCCAATCCAGGTAGACGGATGTTACCAGCTCGACTGGGTTCGCTCGTTAATAGTTCCATACTTCGTTGCTGGGTCATAGGCTATCCGCCACTCAGCCACTCTCACTCAGAAAGAGCTGGGAGAGAAGAACTCTGTGAGGTAGATGGTCCTCTGGTAAGCGAACCCGCATAACCTACAATGCGCGAGCAGCTCAACCATCGCGAGAGAGTTCGTTCAGTCTTGTGTTCTCACCAGACTCGGTTAATGCTTCTAAAACACAGACGGACAAACAGTGAAAGCTTTCCTACGTTCTCTGTGCTAGGAAGCCCCGGTATATACTCTGTCTTTGTCAGATAAACTGACGTCACGCCGACACCAAAGGTGTCGGAGGTTGGACAAATTTTCTCTGGAATTCCCATTTCCAGAAATAACCCCATCTCCAGCCAGTCAACAGGAACTTATACAGCTGTTTGGGTAAACAGATTAGTCTAGTGGGCTGATTAGTTCTTTCGCGAACTTGATGTTTGGTTTTAATGTCACCTAGTGTTGCAGGAGCACTTTAAAAGGTATGCAAAGCATACCAGATCATGCGGCAGGATTATTTAAGCAGTAGAGATTTCATCCTGCCAGTGAAGCCAATCTATGCTGAAAAGCCGAGAAACACTTCTTAACCCTTGTGGGCGCACCTCACGAAACTCAGAGTTTCTAACCCATGACCGTCCGATCAGTGGTTGGAAACTTAGACGTTTGGCCGAAAGTGTCTGGTCAGCAGTGTTATTAGCGCTCGAAGAGACAGAACATAGCCCCCCTCATCCTTCAATAACGGAAAACCACATCACGTGGTCACGTATTGACTGGTTCCTCGAGTGACGAGTTTTCAGTAGGAAGTTTCACAATCCGGTGAAGTTATCCTTTCTCTGAGTTGCATATGGTTTCATAGTAATTTCATGGGATTACTCAAGTCACTAAAAATGGCTTACACCTCCGACGGGAAAGAACCAAGGAAAGCTATAGTCTGTGTACTCCACGTCTCCGAGTGAATAATGCCGATGAGCCCAAGTTTGTGTTTTTTTTATGGACTGGTGTTGGCTAGCGCCAGAGGATACCATATAACACATGACCTGGAAACGGAGTATGAAAAACCTAACAAGAATCTTGACTGCCCGTCACTAAGAGACTGGATCTTACAACAGTGTGGCGGTTTGTGGTTTGAGACATGCTGGAGTGTGTCCGTGTGACATTCGCACAGTCCCCATTTTATAATTGTCAGCTGTAATAACCGCGTACTTGCCGTGAGGTGGTTGCAGCTGCCAGTTCCTTTCACCAATGATTTGGGGAGGTGGGGTAGGTGGCTCCGCATTGGAGGCGGGAGTTGATAAATTCGTACGTAAATACAGCACTGTCAATGGACTGTTAAGTAGGGGACTTGGGAAGGGAGCTGTGCATTGAACGCAATAGATTGGATGCATGAGCGCCATCCAGGGCGCGACTGAGCCACGTCTGACAATGTCATGTCCCGTCCCCATCCAGAAAGACGGCAATGACCAGTGCAGCTGACTTTGCTGGTAATAGCTTTTATACTTCGCTGCCAAGTCATTGTTTGATCGCCTCTGGCTCTTCCACCCAAGTAGTTGGGCGAAATGAACCTTTCGAGTCGGTCAGTTGGCACACGAAGCACGCGACCAAACCGGCACAACCTGCGGAGTTTGATTAGTTGCCGAGTTATCTCTTCGGAAAACCTTTCGACTTCAGCGGTACTGATCCCACAGTGTCCCCACTAGACTCGGACAATACTCTGAAGACATCGATGGTCACACAGTGAAAGTCTTCTGACGTCTTCAGTGCGCGGCGGTCAGGTTTCTTAGCCGTATGATGATACGAAGCGCACTGCAGCATTGTAAACTCAACCCTTGATTGATTAGTGATGCCATGTCTACGCGGCAAGTGATACAGGTTCTCGAAAGCTGCTCTGGCTTTCCAGGTCGAGATGGAAATATCAACTTTCGCGACACCACCTGGATTGACACAGCTGCTCAGGTAAACAAATGTGTCTACTACCTGAATGGACTCATCCGCAGGCATGAGGCTAGGGTTCGAGTGCAGTCATTTTTTCCCATGATCGCCTGTTGATCGCGTGTTGTTGGATCATTTAAGTTTGTGTCTGAGGTTTTTCGTCTTCTTACTATCCGCCGTGCTAGGAGTCTGGATCAAGCAACATAGCTGGGGATAGAGTATTGCCACAATCCGCATA